AAGAGCATATAGACGGCAGAGATAAGGCACGTACGTCGACACCCCTAGGCACCCACAGAGTAGCGCAACATGCAGGATCAAACTTTGAGATTTCTGTGAGAATCTTGGCCTATGAATCCCAAACACAAGCACGTAAGTGTTTGGAAGCGTTCTGGATTCATGCCAGAAACCCAAGAATGAACCGAAAAGAGGAAAACCTAGCGATTACGTATGAACTTTTTTCTTATCTAGATCAGTTATTCTGATCTGGTAGTATATAAGTAGCGTTCTGCATGCACGTCTAACAAGTCAAACTTTCTCTATCACCGGACGACGTGACCCAACTTTTCCTTTGAAGAGGAGTGTCGGCGTAATCCAAAGGGTACGTGCTTGACCGTGCAGCTGAACTAGTGATCGAAAACGAGGTCTAGCATTTCGTCTGTTCAGCTGTGGAGGTGCCGGTTCGAATTGGGTGCAAATCGTATTGTCCCTTACAGGCTCTGACGAAGGCGATCTGCCGAAACGTTAACCGTGGATCAAACAAATCGATTACCAATCTCTGTATGGCTTGAGAAGAAAGAGCAAAATAGAACCTTTATCGTTTTTGACAGGGCCGGGCGGAGCCGGGTAAGCCAGCTAGTTCTTTATATTTTGATGTATACGATGATCTATCATCATCTATGATCTATACGTACAGTAAGCATAGTAAAAAGGTTCTGTTAAGCATAACTAGTATCATCGTAATGAGCATGTCAAATGACCCCTACGGATCAAGTTTCAGAAAAATCTGAAGCCTCCAAATCTGGATCACAAATGAAACCGTCTTTTCCTAGGATTTTTTTGATTTAGAGTTGAGCTAGTTACCATAATTCTTCTTTGCCATATACCCTATTTTCAGGTGTATAAGCCGCACCCTTTTCGCTCTGAAGGCGAACACGCCAAAAGACTGACTGTCATCATGGAGCGCGTTAAGTGAGAGCAGTATGCGATAAGGCGACCGCTTCGCGAGACATATGCGCGGCAGCACGCTTGGGTCTGCTCGCGTTTAGAGCAAAAAGGGTGCGGCTTATACACCTGAAAATAGGGTAGAAAGCTCCACTTCAAAAAATCACCAAACTCAAATAGGAATTATTTGAATTCTCGTTTCTCTCTTTTCTCTTTGCTTTCAGAGCACTATTATTCCGAATTGAGAAGAAAGATTAGGCTCAAAACACTCCTGTTAAAACGAAATGTATAGAATATTTGAATTTTTGCTAGCTTCCAGTATTCAAGTGGTGCAGATTTAGTAATACGTTACCTAAAATTGTCACAAAAATGTCATGGAGAAGCGGTTATAGCATATTTTAGAGCAACAATATCGTAAGGAGAAGAAGTTTTGAAGGTTTCATAGGTATAAGAGGCCTGGATGTATGAATGCACTGAGGGTGGATCAATGGGGGTGTGGAACAATCCCGAAAAAGGCGTGGCGGTTACAGTTTTTTTGTTGTGCTACATCCCATTAACTTACCTACAAAGATAATTTTTGGCGAAAGTTATATTAATGTTTCTATAGCCTAACTCTTGTAGTTTTCAAAGCTCTAATTTGAGCTTATCCCATCTTCTTCAGACCTGATAACAGCTGCTGAAAACACAACACTTGAAAGCGAAAAATTGAACAAATGAGATTCTGGCTGGCTCCTAATTCCATAGTCTAGCGGTTATTCAGAGTAAGATTCCTGACAAAGAGTAGCGCTTCGTATTGAGCGCAAAAGTAGTCATTCAAATTTTAAACAAAGCTGTTTATGTCTGAAAATTACCACTTTACATAGGTGCATGGTTTTCTGGAAACTTCAGCATTCAATTATGAATGTATGCTCCAGTATGCTTGGTACGGCCTCATGTTATGCCTAATGATAGGTAACAATAATGGTGGGGGGGGGGGAGTCTGTCGAGACACTCAGCAGGGGAGGGGGGGGGGGTGCCGACATGTCTGAGAAGGTGTGTTAGACCTCGCTCGATCTCGCCTTCATCTCATAAAGAGGAGGAAACCTGACAGCTCAGAATGCCATTGCTTTGCTTATGCGAAGAGCGCCTTTTGCTATGATTACTTTTAATAGTCTTGTTACCTAACATTTACCTTTGCTGCTGAAGTAGCAAACGTAAATATTAGGTAAGCACCGAAGCAAGTATTCAAACAATATATGTTGTAGCGCTGCGTTGTGCTCTTGTAGAAACCACTAAAACAGAAAGATGCACATTACCTTTTTGCATAATATCTTACGATCGAAAACTCGTCGCAAACATTGTACACTTTTTTGTAACATTTTAGGCATCTTGGGTACATGAAGAGCTCTGGTACAACAGGATGCGGCAAGACTAACTCTGTTTTGTCTATTTCGGTGATCTGCTTATTTTTGCTTGCCCTCCATACTCAATTGATAGCTGACTTGCAAAGCGAATAAATCATTTCGTTTATTGTCTTTAGTGAAAGTGACTGATGCCGCATGGTTTCTGACGTTCCAGTCAGTTTTGCGGTGGGTACATGCTACAAGGAGAAAAACTATAAAATTTTACGAATTTGGCTAAAACTTGGCATATTGGGGTTATTTGACATGGTGATCACGAAAACAATACTAAAATTACATGGTAAGGGCTTTTTTATAAGATAATTGTAGGTTTACGGTTTATGGTCTCACCCTAATCAAGAAAAATGGCGTTGATTCAACAAATGATTGTGACATTCGTGTTTGTTAGGTCAAATAACCCCACTATGCGATGTCTTGGCGAATTTTGAGGTTTCGACTCCCTGGTTTTGCGATTGCCCTCAGCAATTTTGCGTACTGCGAATTGTCCAATTTGTGAGGGCGTCGAATCTCGATTATCTTCAAATTTCATTTCTTTTTTATTGGATTAATCAAATTAACCTTTAACAATAATTCACAGACAATTTTGGATCATTGTGCATGGTCTAGGTTGTTAACGGCTTCATTTTGGCTCAAAACTCCAAAATTCTCGAATTTCGTTAGTTTTCGACAAACGCCTCTAATGTTTCTTATTCGCTTTCAAACTTCACAGAGTTTGTGCACAGTTGTAAAATGTATTACATTCTACATTTTGCCAAAGTTTGAGTGCGCAATATCTAAAGAGAGTAAAGTTATGAGTTGCAAAACTTAGTTTCCAACCTAATACATTCTAACAGTTCTCATGCACCCTAAAGTGCTCAATATGGAGTACCATTTCTGATTGATTACGTTTTCAAGGATTAGTCTGTTTCTATGTCACTGTGGAAACTCATATTCTTCCAAATATTAGTTCGGCTGAATACGAAAGCATTTCAAGCCTTTTTAAAATTGAGGAAGAAACTCCCTGCTTACATGAATTTGGACTAAGTCTGTGTTTACCTTAATTTCTTGATTAGTTCTCTGTTAATTTCCGAGTCTACATTCTTACGAAAAGTAAATTTTAATAGTTACCCTAAGTGTATTATCGATACTGATCAACCCTTTCATGTCAAAAACACTTTGGCAAGGCCAAGTTTCTCAAATGGATTGTAAAAGTGAGGGTGCTTTCCTTTTCTTTACTAGTACGCTCTAAGCAGGAAACCTTGATTTGTGTTGTTTCTCTCAGAAGCTGCTCAGAAGCAGTGGATAGGCATATCCTCGACTAAAATTTTCCTGCTTATCTCTAGGTAATTCGAGGCGTTGATCCCGAAAACCGACCGCAGAGAGCGCGAAAATGGCGAAAAACAGCATTTTTAAGGTCTCTCATTTTTAATTTGGACGAGTGGAACTGTTCCCGCCATAGATGGAGATGCGATCTTGGCGGAGCTCTTACGACTATAACAGTGCGGCGGCACCCACCTCTGACGGTGGGAGGGAAATGCAAGCTCATTCAAGCGCGTGTAAGAATGGCTTGCGCGTAGGGGATTGGGACAGCTTTCATGGCAGAAGGCAGCATATGTGCTCTCGGACTTGTTTTCAAATTTGAGGGAACGAGCAAATCTACCCTATCAAAATTCCGAAAGGTTAGTTTTGCCGAGCCATCTCTGTACGCTGAATGTGAATATCAAATTGGCACTATCATTTACGAGAGATCTCTGTATGCGGAATTTTGATTTGATTTGAAATCGTTTTTCGTGCTACATGCAGCAGATTCATTGAAGACTAGAATTTATTTTGTGGCAGTGTTGTATGACTTTCAATGCTTAGTATTTTTGGTTATATAGGTAAGGAGGGATTTTGATAGGAAAACGCGGTAACTCTGGCCATATGGTTTGTAAAACAATGCTTCATGAAACAGCTAAAAGCGAAATTTCAGCAAGTATAGTTTAATTCATGGATTGTTTGTAATACTTTATGCAGCAGTAGCCAGCCTCTATCCTCTGCTTATAAGAACCAGCTGCAACTGTGCAACCATCTGGACTTGCAGTTTGTGACAGGAGACGAGAAGCAGTGTCTATAAGTGATTTACATGCCGGAGAGTTGCACTGGAGGATTTGGGTGAGAAACAAAGGCAAGTACAAGGTATCTGTTTAATTGGTGTCCAGCAACTTTACCAGTAGTTGCGAGTTGCACCCACTCAGTGCTTAATTTGCGCGAAAAAGTGCGTCGTGCTGAAGAGACGGAGACGAAGAGCTGCAGACAAGTTTTACGATTCAACTATAGTAGTAACCCTGCTTTTACCGATTAACTCATTTTCGTGCTACAGCAGTGACGGTAGAAGATTTCAAGCTTGCTGCATTTTTGGCCTATCACTTGGCTTCAGTGTAGGCAGTAATTTTTTCTTGTGGATTTTAGTACGATGGGTGGACCAAATACTACATTTTAGAGAGCGAACTTTGAAGCTCTCTTTGTAAATTTTATAAAAAGCTGCGACCGGACCAGTTTTCGCATTTCACGAGTCAGTCGGTCTACTTCAACTTGAGCTGTAATGCAAATAACACTAGAAAAAGGCTTTGGCTTGATGATTTTGACGAAACCTTGCTTTTTCAGTTCCGTCTAGTCTTAAGACTGTGTTTTCACATCAAACAGTTCACGGTTTTTGCTTCGGAAGCTTTATCACACAAGTATGTAACAACGATTCTCTGCACTTCTCCGAGTTTCTGACTTATTTCACTTTCCATAAGCACTGGAGCAGCACTGTTCATTAACACAGGTGTAACCGACAGGGCACTGAGCATTTACGCACGGTCCTAAAATATGCCTATAGAGAATTTTGTGCTAAAACTTGACATACCGATACACTGCTGAGTATAAGGCGAATAAGGTTGGTAAGGTTGATAAGGTGAGTAAGGTGAGTAAGGTGAGTAGGGTGAGTAGGGTGAGTAGGGTGAGTAAGATTGGTAGGGGTTGTAGTAGCCTCCGCCGCAGCCAGCGCAACCTAAAAGACGCTCATTAAAGTAATGAGAAAAATTTCTTCGTGTCTTTCAAATTACAATGTTTTTTATTGGTCATTAAAAATGTCGCAAAGATACAGTAGCTTCAGTTTCCGAGCATATTTTCTCTCCGAGTATTTTACATTTTGGAGCTCATTTTATTGCATTTACTTTGCACGGATGTAAACATTTTATTTTAGAACCGAGTAATATTGTGTAGAAGCCCGTAAAATTCAGAAAATTTCGAAATGCACGGATAAAACGATTCTCTTACCTTGTCGTTTTCGCCGTATTTGTTTTTCTTCTACGGAACCCGGAATAAGAAGTGAGAGTACCAGAAATCCTACGATCGCTAGTTGCAGCGTCATGGTAAATGAAATTTTGAAGAAACGAGACGGTTGAACTGAAATATGGATGATGATCTACGATTTTTCGCATTCTACTGATTGGTCATGAAGCATCACGGTTAGCTCAAACGCATCAGTTTAGACACCAAGAAAAGGAAGCAGCTCTGCCGGGTGAAATGGAAGAACAACATTGCTTTCATAAAATTTGGTGAAGTAATTAACATACATGAAATTTTTATGGTTGAAAAGACAATCAAATTCTCAGTTGTATATTGCCCGGGTGGGTAGAGCTGTGATAGATGAATTTCCATGAAAATCGGCTAGGCGAAGGATCAAATGTTGAGGCCAGGCAATCACAGATGTGACAGTTGGCAGAACTGCGGATTGGGGACTGTTTCAAAGAAAGTAGAGACAACACCAAGTGAATATGATGGGAATAAAGAAGAAAACTTTACATTTGAGAAAGTGGCAGAGTAAGCCATATGTCTCTCAAGAACAAATCCCAACTCGAAAACAGAAATGCAAATTCCCTCGTTATTCAACTTTAAGGTTTTCTTCAAAACTGCAACTCTCTCGTTTACTCTCGATCATCTAATTTTATATTTGTGTAGTACATCTTGTGTTTGCCTAAAGATGTTTTTGTGGCTCTCAGTGCTTTGGTGGGAAGCTAAGAAAAACCTCGCTCATTGGATAATCATTCGCAGCTAAAAGTAAGCTAATCACATTGAATCATAGTTGAAACATAGTTGTTTTTACTTAGAGTTTTCTTATAAACTGATATCTGTAATGGTAAAAATCCATAATGTTAAATGCACTGCAGTTTATTTTGAGATTATGAATTTTACATTTATCCAGTCCAATAAAAAATCATACTCTTTACGATTCTGGGCTGACCATTAGAAAATGAATTAGAACAAAGTATGGAAAATTGTGCAAAACACTTTTTTGACCTTAGCTCCCTCCCCCTCTCCCACAAAATTAGGTCAACCAAGCATTTAGAAAGAACTCAAAGCAAAAATTCAATGCTGCTGAATATTTGGCAGCAATATCTGAAGGGGATGGTTCAGTCTTCATTTTTAACAGATTGCAAACAAACGCGATAGTCATAGATCAGTTCAGCTATGGCAGTTGTCGCACACCAGCAAAATTAACGCTCTTTCGGCATTAGCATAGGTAAAATTTTGACAAAACTTCGCTAGCGTTGCCGTAACTATCAAAATAGAACTAAAGCTAAATTTTTGTGGCAGTAACGAGTGGAACATTTTGTATGCAAGTGGGTTAACAATTCTATTGTATAAGACTGCTCTCAGATTCTCTCAGTTTGAGGTCACGCCTTCACTTCTTCTTGAGCTAAGAGATTAATCTGTAAAAACTGATTGCTTTTCTGTCTCTGTGTATAGATAGACTTTGTGACAGTCCAAGCCCTGTGAGCGACCAAAGTTGAAGACCAAGTACTTCTTAGTCATCAAGGACTGCTAGATAAAAATTAAGTAGAATTATGAACAGATCCATCCGTTGCAGCAGAACCAGCATAACTTTTGATTCCTTAACATTCAGCTGTCATCTTACAGTAAATAGCCAGCTGATCGAAATGCTTCCAAGGCAACCTTTTACAACTGGATATCATTGAAAACATTGGTGGACCGAGGAAAGAGGTGCATGAGTTACAAACTAGTGCGCGTGAATGTTTCTGCTAGATTAGAGATAAGCTGTTGATTTTTTTACCTGCTGAAAATTTGATCTCTTAGGCTCGTACGCACGTACATCCCCGCAGGGAGGGGAGGGGATCTGAGAGGGGAAGCGCCATATCTCACAGCTCTAGATATCTTTCTTCCTTCTTCTCTATCGTGCTTATAAGGGTTCTCATACCCTTATACCTGCGCATGATAGATGTCAGGTTACTGCTATACAAGATTAAATATTCACTATTTCTTCCGATCCCCTGGGGATCCCCAAGGGATCCCCAGGTGATTATCTCACATTTTCAAAGTCGTTTTTCTTCCCGAAAAATGAATGAAAACGCTGCAAAATTGTACTGAAGATATGCTACGATACTGCTGCATGTTTTTGACAGAAGAAATTGAATCTAAAGATTTTAATTTTTTGATAATCCCTGGCTCGCGAGCAGCGGTTCATTGAAGATTTTGATATCTTGAGATTTCACTAATTTCAACCATAAATATGTTTAGCAATGCTTTAGTATATCACAGTACAATTTTAGAACATTTTCATCGAGTTTTTAGAAAGATAAATAACTTTGAAAATGTGAGGTGATCCCCTGGGGATCCCCAGGGGATCAGACGAAATAGTGAATATCTAATCTTGTATCACAGTAACTTGGCATCCGTTATGCGCAAGTATCAGTGTATGAGAACCTTCAAAACTAAGACAGTGAAAGAAGAGGAAAGATACATAGACTAGCGAGATATGACGCTTCCCCTCTCAGATCCCCTCCCCGCGGGGATGTACGTGCATAAGGGCCTTAAACTAAAGGTTTTAAGATCGCGGCTGTCGTTTCGCAAATACAGGCTAGCAAGGAAAGCTAAAGAATATTCCTGTGGACATGACTAATGCTGTACTCCATTCAAATAAAACTTTTGCATTCCCTCTTTTTTCGGTGAATTAATCGGGCTATTATTGGCTGAATACTGAATCTACTCCTGGCTAGTTCATCTTGTTACATGAATCCAAAACAGGAAAGCCATGCTATTTCAATACTCACAATCAGTATGGTGAAGAAACGCATACTTGGCTCAGAACAGAATGCAATATGTGCAGAGTTTTTTCTAGCTTTTCAAAGTTGTAAATTTTAGTTTCACGTAAAATTACCCTAATTTCACTATTAAAAGGCACACCTATTTCGTTAAAACAAACAGCTCAGCTGCCTCGCTGTGCCTCGCGAAACGATCGCTTTGCCCCACGGTCTTGAGTATTGCGCAGCGTAGAGGTGCCTCGGGGCCGCCAATTTTTTTGCGTGTTTGGGCTGGTCAGCTTTAGAAAAAAGGCTTGCGCTTCGTTGTCGTGTTAGGGTCGCATCTCTTTCATATTTGTATTGTGGTTTGATAATAGTTTGTTCTTAAACCTTTTTTTCATGATTCCCGAACCGCCCACGACCCCGATTTTGGGCACGAAGTTAAAAATACATGAAACCCTAAAAACCCTTTCACGCGAACCCTGCTTTGGCAAGCATGGACGAGAATACTGGTGCTAGCCTTGTTGTTTTCAACAGGACGTGCCATTAAATGTAACACAGAGGCATTTATCAGTAGAAGCCTCTACGGTGCTACCATGGCAGAACGGCTGAGAGAATGATCCCTGAATGGCGGGGCCTGATAGCATTTCCGTGAAATTTAAGTTCATTTGCTCCTGTTAGAGGCCACATTAAAGGCCGGATCAACGGTACTTTTTAAAGACTAGATCATATTCGAAGGAACATGGATTTGCCTAAACTGCCTTTAGATTTCCTTTATGTTTAAGATGTATCTTTTCTTGAATAGCAGTGGAGCTGAGAAGGCAAAAAAGCACCAAATCATCTGAAGCGTCATTTGCGCTTTCATCTCTTTTTTCTTTACACAGACAAAAACAATACATTTCAACTACAAGTCTATGAATAGTCGCACTGTAAAATGATGCACTAAGCTCTTGGCTTATGCTGATATTCTGCTGTTTTTGCGTCTCTTCGAGGTTACGACAAAATTCGTAAACATAATACGAACATAGCGAAGAAACTCGCATGGATTGGACAACTTTATCCGCACTGCCACCATGACTTTTGCTCTTGCAGTAACGACGTAAGAGAATTTAGCTTCTAACTTCATGGAAAGATTTCATGGCATTACCAAAAAACCAGCTTGCATTTGACATTTTATTAGTACCAACGTAGGACATGAATAAACGTCAAAGAATAGCCCGAGAATACAAGCAATGCATTTTGATTTCATATTACGACTCTGCAGCACATACTGTTGGTATTGCGAGCATAAACCTGCCGGACATACACCGTCCACGCTTAGACCTAAAACCGAACTAAGTACCAAAGAAATTATGAATGGCTGACATACCAGTGCATATGGTCGGCGACCGTATCCGTAGCCGCCACCGTAGCCACCATAGCCACCATAGCCACCATAACCGGGTCTAGGGAGAGGTGGTGGGCGATTGCCATAACCATAACCACCATAACGTGGCTGCCCATATCCATAGCCACCACCGTAGCCACCGTAACCGGCCCTAGGCCCATATCCGTACTGAGCTGCAAAATTGCAATAAACAAACTCAAAGAAGTTCTACGGCCGCCTTGACAACAAAGGAAGTTGAAAAACATTTTTTCACAAAAAAATGGCGTGTCATTAATTTGGCAGAGCACAAACAATATGCTGTGGTCCAGGTTATTCGTCGTATAGAATTTTGGTTCTACGGAAGCACTTAGGCAGGGCCCGAACCACTAAATTCTTTTAAAGTTTGTATGCCAGTGCAAAGTTTTGTGAGCATGCAAGCTTCGAGAACTGTCTTCATTTGATAAGCAGTAACGTTCCTATACCGCTTTTCCATTTTAGTGTAATTCCCTTGCAAACCGCTAACGCCTTCTTTACATTCCATAATATCAACAGCTGAAAAATGCTAAACATGTTTGTGACCAAGCCAGCATACTACTCAAAGTTTCTCATTTCGTGACCCTTCCATCACAAAAGAATACATAAAGACTATGACAACCCAAAACTCAACCTTTAAATCATGTGTTTATGAACAAATACTGCAAATTTTCTTATCTGCTTGTTATCATAGTCTTGGAAAAACGCATATGAGTTATCAACAAAATTATTACATTTACTCTAAATGTCATTAATTCGTTGTAAACGGTGCAGTTATGGCAATATAATTATGATGTGTAATTATTTTTTCGCAAATTGTAGCATCTGTAAGGAATGGCTGTGACTCAACGTTTGCCATTATCAAAATAAAGTTTAAGATTTAAGATATTTATTTCCAGTGATCTACAAAGTCACAACACTTGGATGATTTGCAAGATAAACATTCACTTGTAATCTGCCCTGAATTTGAGAAAACAGCGAACTTACCAGTTGAGAAGGTTATTAGAAGTGTCAAAGTTATGAGAAGCAAAAACTTCATCGTCTTCATCGTGATATTGCCAATCTGTAAATGTGATTTGGTAAAAACAGATGCAACACATTTGTGCGATGTACATCAGCATTCCTACTCACAATCACTTGCTTTTACCAGTTCAGAAAGGTGGAAGATAGGTAAAAGTGCAGGAAGGGAAGGTGAATTATAATTGCGACAAGTATTAAACAACGTTAAAATAACAGTGTGCACACCAGCGGCTTCAAGTTGATTGTTGTTAGGTGGTCCAAAAGTTCTGGCGTTTCATCTCCAAAAATCTCACTGCTCAATTTCTACGAATTTGCTTGCTTATAATTTTGAAAGAAAGATTGATTCTTTCGCTTTCAAACACTTGCTTGTAGAGCTTTTGTGTCACACTGAATGCGAAGATGTTAATGGAATAGTAAGACCTTAGACCATTTTGAGTTAGGTCGTCAAAAATCTGGAAAGTTGCAGAAAAATCTGAAGTCGTCAATACATGAACTTTTTGGCCTACTCTTTGCAAATGTAAAAAGTTTGTGCTGTTTGGGGGCGTTACTGTGAGGAATTACATTTCCAAGAAAAAGTGACAAATCAATTAGTTTTGGCGTTTTCTGTGTGTACTCGAAGTTCATATCATTCTACAAAGGCGTTCAAACAGCACAAGTTTTATTCAGCTGCAAAGGGCAAGCCAAAAAACCCATGTACTCTCGGTTTCAGATTTTTCCGCAACCTTCCAGATTTTTGGTGACCTAAGTTGAAATGGCCAAAACTAATAAGTCAAAGCTCTTACTTTTCCATTTTTATCTCTGCATTCACTGTGAAACAGAAGCTCAAAAAGATGGCATTCAAAGCTAAGGATACACGCTTTCTAATGAAATCACAAGCAAGCAGATCCGTCGAAATAGCGCAAGGTTACAAATTTTTGAAAATTAAACGACAGAACTTTCGGATCGACCTAATATTATGTAACAAATCACTTTTATTATCCGCGTAATCCATGAATTACTGGAGATCAATTTCAATATTGTACATATTTGACTTGCTTGAATTTGAGTCTGCGTTCCGAAATGACATTTCTCCCCCCCCCCAGTACAGCAAATACCACAGGGTGTGTGAAACACTGTTTGATCGTTAATAACTCTCTTGCGTTCACGTCTTTCGTCGACTTTTGTAGAGCGAGCTTCAACTTAGATCTACAGTCAGGGCTCGGCACAGGTGGCTTACCAGCAAGCTGGATATCCGTTTTGTTATAAAAAGCAAAGGGAGTTTCGTTTCTGTGGTCGAAGACACACGAAAATTGGCAAACGTTTTTTTAGTCGACGTTTTGGAGGTTTCTTAGGTTTTTAAAGGAAATATGGTAGAAGGTCAATGGGGACTTCGTAAAAATTCCCAAAAGTCGGAAGGGACTTCGTTTTTTGAATTTTCATCTAGCCACCTCGTGCCAAGCCCTGTCTACAATATGGACCGAGACATCAATCACTTTTCATTACTGTGGAATTACGGTATGAACTTCGAGAAGGATTTTGAGAAAGTGAAAGCTCTTGCCTGAAAAAGAAAGCCGAACAAGCCAGAAACTTTTGTACTGTAATCGAAGTTTCTGAATCTAAATATGAATATTTCACTTCACTGTAATGCTTCTTTCATAAATTATTTCAGGTATAGGGTAACATCTGTTTTCCCAATGTCCGTCAGAAATGTGATTACACCTTGCTAAACCAGAAGGCCTATTCCACTGTGGCGCTTTGTGCTGGAAAGTTCGTACCGTAGTCCTATAATAATGAGAGGTGATCAATCATTCGGTCCATACTGTATACTCAAGTTAGTATCACAAGATCGACGAAGGACATGAGAGAAAGAGAGTCATTAACGATCAGGCAGTGTTCACATCTTTTTGGGAGACCCTGTATATAAATGCAATGTCACACCCACACTTGCTATTTCATGAAATGGATGGAGCGGATAAGTAAGGCGTGTGCCATTCCTAGGCAAGTCTTATCTGGAATTGCGTTATAGTAACGAGGAGAAAAGAATAAGAAATAATTAGTTGTGCAATGTTTCCGGCAATCATGTGTGTCCATTTTATTGAAGCAGTCGGAGACCTTTTTTTTTGTAAATTAGTAAAGGGCTGTAAACGAACTTTTTTCTTGCTTGCAGGACCTTTTATATTCTTCTATAACAGTTTTCATATAAAAATGTTGACATGATTTTACGAATCATATAAACCAAGTTCAAAGCACTACTACTCCTACACCCAGTACTGATACTCAAAACGGCACAGTCGCCAGGGTGATAGAGCATCGAAAAATGATTTTGCTGACATCTCGCACATCGCTAGCAGAATTCTAAAAAAATCCATCAAGAACATCTCCTGCCGTTTTCTGTCTTAAAAATGGATTGCTGCTTCTTTGGCGAAAGAAGAAATCAACAAGCTATGTTATTAAGAAATATGCGTGAGCGATACAGAACGTTCTACGTGAAAATTTACTGGCATACATTTGTAACCTCGTTCATCAGCTACTTTAAGAAGGATTTTCAGCAAGAACCCAAAAGTAATGCTGTAAGTTATTGGCCTCCCAATGGTAAAATAAAGTAAGCATCACTAGATGGCATTGAAGTAGTCATCTCGTGCAAACCTTTGGCTGTTTTATACCAATGTGGTTAGATTGACGCACCGCTAGGTACTCAAAAGCTTTCAGCCTTTGCTCTTAGAAGTTTGTGTGTTTATCTTCACCTACTGGACCTCGCTATTCTTTGTTGATTCACTTTTACTTTTTCCTTTGTTTTCCAAGTTCTGGCCTTTCAACCGCTAAGTACAGTGTACAGAATGATTTTGTGATTTTTTAACAGTGTACACCAAATAATGCCACAGGTACGGAAGAGTTCTGTCAAGATAATTAATACAGTTTTCGAATGTTGACGTATTTGGCATATAAAAGTTTTTGAGAAGCGAGTGCCCTTGTAACCATTCCTAGGCAAAATTTGATCTCCAGTTCTAGTTGGTGGAGCTGCTAATTGTGATCTTAAAGACAACTATTTTCTGAACAGAAAACCCAAATCTGTTTTTCAAAAAATAAAGGCGAGAATTTCTAGCATTGATAATTGCTGAAGAAAGGAGTTGACATTAGAGATTTGCTTTTTGGATATAGGTCGTCTGCATTCTGATTTAATTGGCCAATCTTCCGCATGATCGCTAATCTTACCTCAAATTTTTCTAATTTTCAATGGAGCCATTTTGACGATTTTTTGATAGCCGTAGGATTCCAAAGCGACTTAGACGCGTTGTGTAAAACCGCTGAGAACTTGCACCTGTGCTATCTACACAGCAAAATGCGACCTTCCTCGTGACCAGCTGTAAACTTGGTGCAGTTTACAAACGCTTTGAAGCATTCTCTAAAGCGCTTACAAAAAGCTTTACTTGATCCCTACCTGGTCGCTAGTGCTTACCTGACTTGATTCATCCGCAAAAAACCTGCAGATAAACACCTGAAGTTTGCTTAGAGTGAAGAGCCACAGTGTTGAATAATAACATTTACAGGATCCTTACGTGATCAAAGAGACACAGTTCGTGAAATCCGCCTTCTTGGAGGGTGCAGCTAATAATGCTTGCTCCAGTAATGAAAGCAGGCTCAACCGCATTGCCGTGCTTTGCGAAGATCGAAACGATCAAATCTTTTAGGTAGGACGAAGTCGGTAGAGGTTCATTTGCTTGGCTCTGCTGCTAGTATTTTGAATTAATAAACTGTCCCTTTACTCGTGATCAGCGTTCTTTATTTTGTGATGAAAGCTTATATGCATATGTCGTTTAGTGCTTTTACAAGAATTAACGTAGCAAAATTTTACAATTCAACAAAACTCCTCACATCATTGGCATAGTGAATTACTGGTTTCAAAGATTTTGCAATCAAGTTTTTCCTGAGGCCTTCGTATCATTCACAAGGATTGAGATTCCACCTTTTCCAATCTGGCCAGACCAGGTTTGTAATACGTAAAACTTTATGGTCGACGTTCATCCATTCTCATGAACAGGCGAGCAAAATCGGATCAGAATGTAATTGAGTGGGTCATTAGTTACACAAGATATCACGACTTATTTTGATTGACTCATATATTTTCTTTGTAATATGATCGTAGAATATACTAGCCAGGAATGGTTTGTACGTATATGCTCGGCCTACATGCATTGTAGACCTTAAGAAAACAATTCTGATCGAAACTTGACACATCAAAATTTAGCCTACAGTCAATACCTCAATGGTACAGGCTCTGATCCTACTCAGCAGAGGAAAGCGAATCTTACAGCATTTATTTTCTCGCTAACAAGCAGCCAAATATTCTATTTTACAATCGTGGTCAGAGAAGACAAAGGCAACACATGAGACTCTACATCCCGGCTCGGCAACACATATTGTTGGTATTACACGCATAACCTGCTGGACAAGCTTTCGCGCAAAAGCCTTAATTTGCACTTCGCAAAAAAGGATTTGTGAATGGATACCATTCAGATACCTATGCACTGTTGTGACGACTGCTGGTTGTAAGTCACGTAACCATATCCACCAGACTGTTAGCCATAACCGTAAGGTGATTGATATCCATAGCCATAGGGGTACTGATAAGCGTAACCATAGGGTGACTGATAAGGGTAGCCGTAAGACTGATAGCCATAACCATAAGGTGACTGATAACCATAACCATAGGATGGTTGTTGGTAGGAATATCCGTAGCCACCTCGTGTTCTAGGTCCCCATTTGCCTTGAGCTGCAAATAAAATGAGAAATTTTACGAACTAGTCCAAGTATTAGGTTGTGACATAAGTCTTGTTACACTTAACTTCTAACGGCGATAAGTCATACACCTCATAGTCTTTGCAGGACTTCAGGGTACCAACCGATAGAGCAAAGCAAGCTCTACAAAATGGTCTGCAAAAGTTCGCACCAGCTCCGAACCACCGTAAGTTTGCAGCCAAAATGTGAGTCGTACTGAAATTCAAAAAATCGCGAAAAATTCATATCTTTGTTTAAACAAATCCTACGGATCTCCAACTTGCTCATAAAAATTGCCCACTATATCAAACACTCATATGTACCGTTGCTGTACTTTTTCCTTATCTAGAAATCGAGAAAAAGAATTTTTTTAGTTTTTACAAAAACGAAGCTATGCTATTTCTTTTTATGTAGCTGTATACTACAAGCCCTTACAAGTATAACTGTAAATTTTCAGCTTCCCAGAAGCCCTAGTTTTCGAGAAATGCCAAATTTGGCTTTTATCACTCGGGTGCTCAATGCTAAATTAGGTATTTCTCGAAAACTAGGGCTTCTGGGAAGCTGAAAATTTACAGTTATACTTGTAAGGGCTTGTAGTATACAGCTACATAAATAGAAACAGCATAGCTTCGTTTTTGTAAAAACTAAAAAAAATTCTTTTTCTCGATTTCTAGATAAGGAAAAAGTACAGCAACGGTACATATGAGTGTTTGATATAGTGGGCAATTTTTATGAGCAAGTTGGAGATCCGTAGGATTTGTTTAAACAAAGATATGAATTTTTCGCGATTTTTTGAATTTCAGTACGACTCACATTTTGGCTGCAAACTTACGGTGGTTCGGAGCTGGTGCGAACTTTTGCAGACCATTTTGTAGAGCTTGCTTTGCTCTATCGGTTGGTACCCTGAAGTCCTGCAAAGACTATGAGGTGTATGACTTATCGCCGTTAGAAGTTAAGTGTAACAAGACTTATGTCACAACCTAATATGTTAGCTTCAAATTTCATACATACAGTTGATACAATACTAGTTTAATTCTTTCTGTCCATCCTTGCAAAACACTTAGATTGAGAAAGGAGATTCCAAAGCCCAGACGTACTAAATCGTAAACTCGATACCTCACTTTTTACAACTTGATTCAAATAGAAAACCAATTGCCGTCATAATAGTAACTAGTCTTGTTGTAGCGAAATTTGAAAATCAGCGCAAACTTCAACAATATGATGGCAACGCTACTTCTTATACTTTAATTTGAAAAAAAAGTGACGTCGCATAGTATCAAACATTGAATCCTAACTTATATTATCGCCATCTTGTATTACAATGGATGGATTGCCTCAATCTTACCGCCAACTCTTTATTGCGATTTATGTATACCTCCCAGCGCCTTTTTCTCTTGCTAAAAAGCTTCTAGGGTGCATAAATAACTTTTGTTTACTTAAAGATAGAGAAGTAATATTTTGTTAGCTTACAACAATCCCTTTTCTTCAAGTTGAACTATGATGTTTGACCTGGCTTGCTGCTCCAGTACGGCAGCTGTGTTATTTTGAAGGTTGTGAGAAATCTCCAGCTTGCTCAACATACCCTACGTTTTTCCAAAAGAAGCTTTGGCTTCGATCTGTACTTTTAATTCATGATTGTATCAGCATCACTTGTCTCCCGTAAGTTAATGTAGCTTTTGCATATGCTGAGATTGATGCTCAATCATAACATCACCCCATCTTGCTGTAGTCGTATTCTGTAAAAAGGAAACGAACTCACCGAGGGAAAGAGTAATCGAAAGTGTGATAAGAATGAAACTCAAGAGCTTCATTATAATGGACTCGGTAATCTGCAATTGTATTTCATTTGAAAAAGGAAGTAGCAATGTCTTTGCAGTAGTGATGGATAAGACTGTATGGCTGTTCTGATATCATAATTTGAAAATATATGTATTCACAAAATTTACGGGTTACAAAGAAACGAGTATGTGAATAGCATTAAAAATGGGACTTTTTCCTGAGAAATTGATCATTTTTTGCCGTCCGTAGTAGCACAGTCATATTTACTGGGTGTCCCAAAAAAAGTATCGAACATTTGATCTTTGATAACTTCCCTATATGGAAAGCTTTCTCGGATCTTTGAGTGTCAAACGGTAGGGCTGGGTTCAACTTAGATTTACAGTATAAAGGTAGAATCACCGATTGCTCTTAGTTAAATTTTTTGCTTTTTTTCCAATTGACTGATTTATTGACGAGGACAACGTAGATTCAGTAAATTTTGGAAAAAAACCAAAATATAGCGTTACAGTGCGCATACCGTGGGAGAATGAGATATGGTAGCGAAAAACCGTATTCAGATTCAGCATCCCCGAAAACCTCAGTTTAACATCCTTCGGTTTTTAAAGAATTTTTTAGAAGCAGTTCTCGCCCGTCAGAAGCTTGAAATTAGTCGAAAATTTCCACCGTAATCCTACAGTAACTAAGAGGATTCGGTGAATCACTCTATACTGTAAATCTAAGTTGAACCCAGCTCTACCGTATGACACTCAAAGATTCACGAAAGCTTTCCATACAGGGAAGTTATTAATTGGGACACTCTTATTATAAAATCATTTTCTTGGCAGTAGGAGGAACATTTCATGTACGCTCCATTGAGCAACGACGGAGACCGTCATTTTGTCAGTTGAATATTAACGGGAAGGAATAAACGTTGACATGAGCTCCGTCGTTAAGTGTTTACGCGAAACGTCTTCCCAATTATGACTTACACATGCTGGAGCTGTGCGTTGTGGCATTCAGCGCATCAAAAATTCTGATGGTATACTGCCTTTGAGCTTGTCAAAGCTTGCTCAAGATTGATCTCAAGATCTTCCAAGTTGGGAGCGTATCATTCGAAGTATGAAAAACAAGAAAATTCGAACCACTTCTTATTTAGACCAAAACACACTTTGGTACCTTCCGCTTATGCAAACGCAGGGAGTGAAAGCAGTTACACAAATTTTATAGTTGGAAGTTTTTCTATGTCTCATAATCCCCAAGGTAGCATGCTGAAAGGTTGGCTATAACTCAATTTGCACTATAGAATAAATTACAGAACGCTCATTTTAGTTGTGTTCTCGTATTACCCCAAAAATCTCCAACACAGGGCATTTCCAAAACCTACTATTTCGAAGAGATAATCTGACATACTCTGAGTTAAAGGCAGCGTTCGGGCAAAAATTCGGATGGAATTTTTCTTCTCTTACCTGGGCTTATTCCCTGCGCTGATTCTGAAAATGCAGTTTGGAGAACACGAAAACGCCGAAAACGGGCTTTTCCAAAAGCCCTTGATTTAATGTCGCTTGCCGCCAAGGTTAAGACGCAGAGTCTTCGTGGGACCCTACGTCTTGACTGTGTGCGGTATGCGCACTCTAGCTTCTCCAACTAACTAGTCCCGGTCGCCGGGGTGTTCTGGTCGCCCCTTCTGAAGCGGATTTCTCGCTTCAGAAGCAAAATGGTGCATTGCCAGTTGGGCAAGAGCCTTACCAGGACGGAGTCTCTGTACTCTACATTTTCGTATCTGCCCGGACGCTGCCTCTAAGAGCTTCCTTCCACGAATATGGTAAGAAAGAGCACTTAGTGACTTGCTTCATGCGATTTTAACTTGATATCTTTTGATGAATTCTGCTATTGTGAGAGACATTCCTAAGCAGCTAGCGAGTAACATACGAAGACATATATTTGGAAAATTATGATTTCACTATTTTGCGAAATTGTGACCTTATTGCTAAGCTGTTGCACAAAAATTTGTAATTTGTTTTCCAAAAGTATATAGGTGGCAAATCAACTGTTTAGAAAGACTGAAATTGTAAAATCGCTGAGCATCTGGAAGTTATCAATGTTGAATCCATCGCCTTTTTATAGTCTTGTTATTGGCAGAAATAGTGAATGCACTACTTACTGCTTTCAACTTCACACCCTTTCATGAAGCTCATCCGTTGAGTTGTTCTTTCACCTTTGTGAGATGATTTGTCCTTTTGTGAGTCACTCCATGCTTTTTTAGTCTCTTTCGCTTCCAAGGTTGGTTCATTTTGCGCAGTTTTTATGTTCTTTGTTTTACCAAGTTTGATTCAACATGCGCAAACTTTCATAAAGGGTGCTGCTAGTAAATAGCAGCACTTTGCGTCGGCAAAGTCTGCTCGGGGAGCTCTTCGTTTCTGAAATATCGCCTGGCATTCTAAATATGGAAAAAGCTCAAGAACTTAATGCAACATATGATCCGAGCCCGGCGATGTCGCATTTAAAACATTTTTTTACTGGATTTTACAAGAGAACGCACATGTTTCACGATAAGTGCCTCTTCAATTCTTGAGTAGTTTCAGTCAAAAAATTGAGACTATAAAAATCATAGCAGCGTTATGGTAAAACTACAAATCGCCGATCAATATTCCCACCTATTTCATTTCCATTTTTCGAGTTAATTAATGAATGCGTTGCTGTGCTTCAAAGATGCTTACTGAAGTTCAAGGTCTGACCATTCAGGTAAGGCGGATAATTTTCGGTTGTTATGTATGAGATGTGACAGTCTGGTGTGCGTGTGCGATCAAGCCATGTTGAGTATATCTATGTTTGCGAGAATACCATGTTAGGCTTTCATCAAAGGCATTATCCCATTTGTTAGGTCAATTCGATTTCGAATAAGAAAGATCGTTTTTTATCCAGCGCAAGATTCGAAATGTATCGTGCTTAACACACTGACGACAACGTGACCCATATGGTGGGTCATGCAATGACTGTGGTTTCAGAAGTTTCGTTATGTCTATTCCTAGAAATTACTTTCGCGTTTCTTGGCTCTTCTCAGAATTACTGTAGGGATACTGCTGATGACTGTCTGCTTGATTTTAGCTAAAAATACTCAACTTAGTTGTAGAAGACATTTCCCACAAGTCAGACAGCTAAAAATGTATGGTGTCTCAACATGTTAACTGTCTTCAGATGTACTTCTATCTAGTCCACAGATACAGAGAAAGAGATTTTAGAGACAGCAATTACTTTCCTTATTAGACTTTGAGCTGGCAATAGTTGTTTTCAAAACAATGTTCTTTATTTGAAGATTGAAATTAACATAAATAGTCATTCAAACGATTTCGTCGTGAGGTACAATCAATAATTGATTATACTTCACGAAGAAATTCACAGTAACAAATTTCGTTGTTGTAATCACCCAGACACACAGCTAAGTAGTTTACTCAGAAAAGCAAACACGGCCTTTGGAAAATTCTGAATTGAGTTTATGCGACATTTGATATTTGCGATTGAGCACCGTATTTTAAGGATTCTCTGTATCGAGAACGAGGAGAGAACAACTATGGAAAAATGAGACTGATCACGTAGCACCGGCAATGCCGCTAATATCTATGACAGTGCTAACAGAAGTTAGCGATGAAGTCTGTTTGATCCTAGAAAACAGGACGATTGGATAGCTATAGGCTAGTGCTGGACGAAGGCGCAAATTTATAGAGCGAAGATGGTTTTATTAGCCGCAAGGCACGTGAGGCGCGGGGTTTACAACGGTGTAGATCACGCGCCGCGTCCGCGCTCGCCTAAGTAATACTGCTTTTGCGCCTAAGCCTCCGGCAGTAGACTTTGTCGTCCTTCAGCATACAGCATACTCAATAAGCTTTCAGAATTCCTTTTGTAATTGAACAAGACGGACTTTTCCACAAAGCTTTTCTTGTTGTTGATTTCTGAGAGCGTGCTTTTTGAAAAATTCAGGTGTTTGCGTTCTTGATGGTAGCGGATGCACATAAACATACTTGACAAATTTTATTGCTTCAAATTCGTTCAGCGTACACCACGAGTAACACTGCTTTGTTGAACAGGACTGCTCACTGTTGTGGTTCTTACCACGACCACGGAGGACACCTTGGGCTTGTTGAATAATCGCAGCACAGTGCGTCTGTAGTCGGTGATGCACAAAATTATAGCAACTGGATCAAATACGGTCATGGAAACCGTCAAGACCAAAGGTAAAAATTTCGCAATGCTAAACAAGTGGTCATTGTAATTGATACAAGAGATGAACAAGAACAACCTTGGTAGACGTACGCCCATAATTGGCAGAATAAGCAATAGAGTTCGTGGAATGTATGTTAGTATGAAGGGAATAAATGCCTTAAAGTACAACAGCTTTTATAAGTATATCTTAGGTCGATCCAAAAATGACGTTCTTTTTTTTCAAATGAACGCCACATCTCGTGGAGCAAAGATTTCTAAGAGATCTTGGCGGCTTCGGACACCGCATTTCTCCCTCTCTCTAATATGTATAAACTCATTGCAGCAATATCAATAAGTCTCGGGAACTTACCGCGTTTTGCGACCCATGCTTTTCAAGATGGTCAAGATTTGTTATACTTCTAAATTTTCATGCTGGATGTCCGAAAAAGTGCCAAGTGAGGCAAGCCAGCAGACAGTTTTTTGCCCTTTTTATAGCTTCTTATTATTTATCATTGGGATTTTCAACGAAATGAACGATTTTTAACAGGCTTATCTGACAAGGGAAGGATACGTGAGTGGCCAACCGTAATGATTCGTATATCAAAAAATGCGCCTTTTGATGCTTATTCGAATACAAATTTCTATATCTGCGAAACGATATACTGGATGGAGATATGATTATTTTTCTATGAATAAACTGCGCTACTACAGAGGATCAAAATCGTCAACAAAAAAATTTTAAACAAAATTTTAATTTCAATAACTTTTCTTTCCTTTTCAAATGCTGAGTATGATTTAGATAGGTATAATAAGATTCTCTTCAATAGCTTCAAACGGTAACCTACAACGAATTTGGTAATCTCAACTACCCAAAAGTACGCAAATTTACAAAAAAGGTCATAACTTTCGTCAGAAGATCATTTCGCAGATATCGAGCGTAGATTTTGAATCAGCGTTTTGAGATGCATCTTACGGTGTACATCGCACTTCAAATAGCCATAAAGGAAACCAATGCATATAGGGAAAGGCATCAATAGTTTTTGAGTATGAAATAGATATGACTTACTTAGAGATAATTTTTTACACATAACCGGTTTCGGGGCTAAGAACTAGACCGGATATGTGACTTCCTCGGTGCCCCCGGACTCATCGCCCTTTCATCAGTAGTTCCCGAGGAAGTGCAAAAGATTGAATGAGAGTGTATGCTTGTAAGAGGCCGTTTAATAACGATGAATATGTGGATATATGAATAAATGAAGAGTACAAAATGAATTATAGGAAGACCTGATTATGATAAAAGACAATTAACTGGATGTATATAGCCTGACTTGAGGAAAATTTCCCGCTCATTTTGAGTTCATATTTTGAATCGTTGCACAAGTATTATGTCAAGAGATGTCTTTATGTCACGTTATTTCATGGGTTGTCAGGTGAACTCCAGAGTCCCCGTACTTCATGCACCAATGGAAGATATACGGCTACATGGAATCCATATTTGCGCGATATGAAAGGTCTTTCACTAAAGGCTTGACTTAAAATTCTTAGGGTTATTCTTTCATTCCATCCATTGTCCTTACTAATGTTACAAAGCTGTAAGAGCCTAGTCCTAATATCTGTATAGTCGGTACAATTCCTATAAATTCGGAGAATTTCTGATTTGAATGTATTGAAAATGATATACCTAGGTACATTGGATTTCCAATTTGGGTATCTCAAGACCTTAAAGTTATACGCATCCGTTTTATTGTATAAACTTATCTTAACGCATTGGTCTACTGTACTAATGCTAAGGTCCAGAAAGTTCGTTTCGTAATCGTTTACATTCGTTTTCTCTATTATCAAGTCCTTGTGGTATATATCTTTCAAAGCTTGTTCAAAATCCTTAACTTCATTAGATACATATAGGATGTCATCAATGTACCTATATGTATTATTAAATGAATATTTGTGTCTATCAAAATTATTTGCCGCTAGCCTTTGAACATATTCATATTCCATAAAGGCCAGCGTTAGGTCTGCTATTTGGGGGCTACATGTGCCCCTTGGGGTATGCCTCTCTCTTGTCTATAAATAGTGCCCGCAAAACTTAGATAGCTATTATCAAGAAGCATATCTATCATATATAATATATCCTCCCTTTGAAAATATCTTCCTTTAGCTGAGGTTACATTGATATATGAAGCTGCCCTATTATTTACTTTAATATACTTGTAACCCCGCATACAAAGCTCGATGAGCTTCTTTAGATTTTGCTTTACAACGATATGTGGCAGGCTTGTAAAAAGGCTTGAGAAATCTGCTGAGAAAACTTTTCTGTTTCCATTCATGTAGCTATGTTCTCTTATTACACTAGTACTATTACTAATTGCCTAATAATGTTTGATTTTACTTCTATGAAATATTACATTGCAGTAGTTCATAAAGCGTTTTCTTATGTGACCCAGTATAACAGTTAAAAGCTTTGTTAGAGGTTTCAGTGTACTATTTTTGCCCCCTGTTATATATCTGAACTTAATGGGTGTTTTATGCATTTTTGGGATTCCATAGATCCTAGGAATTTCCTTATAAGCAGGAAGACTAGTAGTATTCAATCCATTCAAAATTCTATTATGTATCTGTCTAACTTCATCCAGTTGAAGTTCTGTACTTGCATATATCTTTACATTAGTGTCATGTTGTTGTAATTCTTTTTGTATCATCAGCACATAAAGTCACCGAGTACCGTTTCCTTGTGAGACGCAAACACGCAAACACTATAAATCACCCAGATATGAAACTTTCAAGAATGGATTATGCTTTGACACTAAATAAACAGAGCGATTAAGCGTTTACAACTCGAAAAATCGAAATTTTCAACACAGCCTGGGCACATTCAAACCATGAATGTTGATTATTTTATCCACTACTTTACAAATTGGAAACAAAAAACCGTTAAAAAAAGGAGAAAAGCTGAATCGCGCAGCTCCAGCGTTGCCGCCGATTGATGTTCTGTGAGCTGTAATGTTGCAATGAGCTTCTAGCCATTAGAAAGAGGATGAATTAATGCATCGAATGCTTTCCAGGATATCTTAGAAATGTTTGTTTCAAGAAATGTGGCGTCCATTCAAAGAAAGCGAAGTAATTTTTTGGGACCTTATATATCGTGTTTTACTAAAAATGAATCAAAATGTGCTTAGGCAGCTAAATGGCTTTTTAGTTAATACGGTACATACCTGAACTGCTAATGCTGTAAGCAATTGCTTTTGAAGCTCTATCGTTTTTTTACTCAATCCCTTTTTCTGCAAAACTTTAGCAATCCTTATGCCTAAAAACACCATAACGGTGAAAGTTGTGAACATCATGAACAGAACCATAGATAAACCCAATGTTGGCCTCCAATAAAGCCTGAATTCACCGTCGACCACGTCCTAAACATTCAGCGGCTAGTCAAAAGAGACGAGTTAGTCTGATATTTCTACAATTTCATAAAGGGAAACTTACATGAGTAAACACGCAATAAAATGCCATTTCGTCCAGGTCACGATGCAGCAAATTTTGCACAGCTTTTGCTGCGTAGTCATAATACTCACTGTTAGGCTTGTAACAGTACATGACAACGAAAATATGAAGAAGAGCCCAGATAAGGACTGGAATCGTCCACAGAAGAAGATTGAAACTCTCGAAGTATGTACGCTTGTGAGGTCTGAAGTGAGGTCAGCGCGTACACAATTTGAATATTATGTTGCAAACTCTGCACCGTATTTACATCACTCTTCATCAACCATTGGACTCACTTGCACACTAAGACATAGCGATAAAGAAAGTGCAGTACTAACAGTGCAGTATGTATTCCCATCATTGAGAAGAAAGTGTAGCCCACACTTGCTTCTAGCCATTGTACACCTCCAAGATATCCGTTGAAGTAAACCAGGATCGAATGTCCATAAACATAAACAGTCTGAAATTAGAATTGAGAGGGTAACAGTTTTTGAACTGAATGTCTGAATGCCATCAAATAATTGGAAATGCAATACCGTGAGTTACCTTGCTGTGTGCAGCTTGGTAATAAAAGTAACTAGCTGGCTTACCCGGCTCCGCCGTATGTTCCGAATAGAAAATTCCATTTCTTAACCTATCCGAATCAAACTTGGCACACATACACTTCGGGCCCCGGCGGGTGTCACAGTCCACTTTTCGTTATCGATTGATGTCGATTTTATCGATTTTTTGCAAAATTTGGGCTAGGGGGCTGGGATTTGGCACAGGGGGTAATCGAGCATGCTGATTACGAATACAATATTAGTTTTCGAAACCGTGCATTACTTTTATCGAATTTATCGATTTTTTTGCAAAGTTTGAGCTAGGGGACTGGGATTTGGCACAGGGGGGTAAGTGAGCATGGGGATTCCGAATACAATATTAGTTTTCATCGATAATCCTAAAAACTATTATTGTATTCGTACTCACAAGGGAATGGTCAGAAATCGAAGTGGCCATTCCAGACAAGCTGCGTAGCGTTAGATGCAGCATGAAGCGCTGACTCTAAACCTGTCTTCTTTATCTGCTTATCGCTTTTCTGGACGAAGTTATAAGCCTTTAAAGACCATTATTTTGCTTAGAAATTATGCGTGAAATTGAGAATTTAGCCGTACAGAGCCTCGTTCGCCTCAATGCTGGGCCAAAACATGCAGCTAGCTTACTTAAAATTTTTGAAGCCAGAAGCCGAGCTAAAAGTGCAGCAACGTGCTAAATTTCGCTGTTTTTATGTACGATTTTTTCACAATAAAACCGCTTGTAGCTTCGTCCATAGAAGCGGGAAGCAGATAAGGAAGACAGATTCGAAGTCAGCGTTTTGTACTGCATCGAATGATATACAGCTTGTTTGGTTTGGCCACTTCGACTTCTGACCATTCCCTTGTCAGCATGCTCGATTACCCCCCTGTGCCAAATTCCAGCCCCGTAGCTCAAACTTTGCAAAAAAATCGATAAAATCGATAAAAGTAATGCACGATTTTAAAAACTAATATTGTATTCGGAATCTTCATGCTCACTTACCCCCCCTGTGCCAACTCCCAGCCCCGTAGCTCAAACTTTGCAAAAAAATCGATAAAATCGATAAAAGTAATGCACGATTTTAAAAACTAATATTGCATTCGGAATCCCCATGCTCACTTACCCCCCTGTGCCAACTCCCAGCCCCGTAGCTCAAACTTTGCAAAAAAATCGATAAAATCGATAAAAGTAATGCACGATTTTAAAAACTAATATTGTATTCGGAATCCCCATGCTCACTTACCCCCCTGTGCCAACTCCCAGCCCCGTAGCTCAAACTTTGCAAAAAAATCGATAAAATCGATAAAAGTAATGCACGATTTTAAAAACTAATATTGCATTCGGAATCCCCTCACTTACCCCCCTGTGCCAAATCCCAGCCCCCTAGCTCAAATTTTGCAAAAAATCGATAAAATCGATATCGATCGATGACGAAAAGTAGCCTATGACACCCGCCGGGGCCCGTTGTGTATGTGTGCCAAGTTTGGTCCGGATCGGTTTAGAAATGGAATTTTCTATTCGGAACATACGTACACACAGACAGACATACAGACATACATACAAACAGACATTCAGCTTTATATATAAGAATATCGTTTTTCTCCTATTTTGTGTAATTAAGAATGCTTTATCTTTCAGTTTTAGCGCGCTTGTAACAAGCGAGAGTTTCTACTAAGTGCAGTTTTTATAATGCTAAAAGTGCCAAATGCAGTAGTCTTACTCTTATAGTACCAAGCACGCCTGCACAACAATTGCCATGCTTTGAAAGCTCCACGAACTGAAATTCGAGTTTCATTGCATGTTTGAAGATTATTAGAAAATTTCCGATGCTCTAAGGAGAGCACTTCCTTAACGCTGTGTACGTTTTTTCAATAAGCTCCAAAATCATTTCGGATCTAGGTCGAGAAAGTAAGCGACGTAGAAGTTCTGCTCTGACGTCCATACCAAGAGGATCAAGAAATCCTGGAGCAGACAGTGATGTAGTAGTGCATAAATAAGTGCACGAAGAGCAGAAATTTTTAGGCTGTCTTATAGGTTTTTTTCAGTCTTGAATTTTTACTGCAATCAGTCACACAATTCTCATTACTCATCAGAACGCAGGGCACCGTTCAATAGAGCAAAGCAAGCTCTATAAGAGGGTATAGGTGTTCGCACACACTTCAGCATATCACGAGTTAGAAGCCGAAGCCTGAAAACTTTCGGATGTCTGAAAAACCCTAAATTTATATCTTTGTCAAAAGAAAAGTTACAAGATCCCAGACTTGCACACTCATATACACTCCATAAGACATTCGTATACGTCGTTACTGTGTTCGTTTCTGCGCTAAAATTCAAGAAAATATTTGAGTTAAAAAAACGATACTGCGCTGTTCTCACATATTTAATTGTAATATCACAAGTCCCTAGAAATACAACCGCAGATCTTCAGCTTTCTTTAGGCTCCATTCCCCAAGAAGTATTGATTTCAGCATAAAACACCCCAGCAAAAAGAGCTATATTCGGTATTTCTCAAAAATTAGGTTCCAGCAAGTTGAAAATTTACCGATGTATTTGTGGCTTGTAATATATATCTAGAGGTTGCTGCATGACGAAGTGGAGAACACTAATGGTGCAAAGAAAAATCAAACATCTATAAGGCCGGGCATACTTCACGTTATTTCAGTCGCGACGCGATTTGGCAATATTCCAACTGTCCATAACTCACTGTAAGCACATTTTGAATGTACAGAAGATAGGGCATTTTATCAATCCACGTACGTTATACACACTTTGAATGTTTTGATAGTGTGGGATCTGAAGACTTCTAGTCTGACTTCTGATTGCTAAATCGTGTCGCGACTGAAATCGCGTGAAGTATGCCCGGCCCTTACCTTCTTCAATACCGATCAACTGCGTTAATATTATTGCTCGAGTTAATTTATATAACGTTTTTGCTTACCGGTTTATCTGCAAATTCCAAGCATGAGTAAAGCATATTACAGATAGCAAAAGCGACCATAAGGTATCTGTAACTGCCCATGCTTTTCTGTCCTTTCTTGCATGTAATATAGATAAATAAGACATTTAACAAGACTGATAACGCAACAACTACTGTGGATGTAATACTTTGAATATCAGCATTCATTTCGGATCAGTATCGTCTAAAAAAGGTGCAATGTGATGAAATTTTGACAGCATGAAAAGAAAACTGCTAGAAGGCTGGGTTGATTTGCAAAAACATTCCGTTTTCAAAAATCGCTATCATGCATAGATCTAAATTGACCGCTTATCGGACTTACACTACTAGCAGGACTTACTAGTACCGGGTTGGAGCAAAGTATGCTAACAAACAGTGTTGGCAGAAACATATAGCTTTTATAGGAACGAATAAAAGAACGCAAAATTTATCCATGGTGCGGCGCCGAGGGAGGGGAGGGAGGTTCCCTTCCTTGAAGAATGGATTGCAAAATATTTGAAACTTATTAGATTGAGTTATAAAATTGTGGAGACGGCATATTTATTCGTGCATGATTGAAATTTTTGAAGATTTGAATTAGCCCTTTAGAAATTTTTTTCGGAGACTGATTGCCGCCGCACCCCCTTTTCTAAAATTTCGGGCTATAGGCCAGCAAAAAGGAAAGGCATCCCAAAAAATTTTTCAGGGTGCCCTGGACCGCCACTGCTTGGGTGCTAGCTAGCAAGATATTCGAATAGCTTTCTACAGTGTTTAAACCATGGTTTGCTTCCAATCTAGCGAGCTTGATGATTTGCACAAGAAGCGGGGTGGAGACAGAATTTTGTGTAGAACGGAAGAGTCCTATCTTGTTATGTTGACAGAAACTGAGCGAAACCGAGAATTCGAGCTTGTACAATATTTTGTAACGTCTCATAACAAATGCTGATGTTATGCAAAGCGCGTTCATCCACGCGACCAAATATTAAGGTGAGCGAAAAAATGGGGAACTTAGAAAATAACTGTAGGTTTCTTAAGAAAGGGTTAGTAACTAGATTTGCAAATTTTGATAGAAGTTTTGATGTAGTTCTTTAGGCAATACCTCTATAAGGTCCCTCACATACCAAATTCTTATACTTGATAAAATGCAAAGTTAATCACTTCAACAAACTATGGACTTCGAAAAGCATCTGCGCAGTAAAACTTGTGAGACCATCCAAAGTAGCACTGCTGCAGTGGGTGATGAGACTCTCAAAAGTCATAATAGCTTGCTGTTCTCAATGTTTAAAGCTAGGGGATATGGTCACCAGCAGTTTGAGAACGAAGACACGTACATTTATTTCTGTGCAAGTGAAAGGCAGGCTTTTTGGCTATGTCTGAGAGAGCTTTTTACACTCTATCCATTCATATGCAACTTACCTCAAATCTTTCAAAAATATTGGTTGAAACACGATTTTTGGCTTTTCATTGCGTTTGAAATCGCAGCAAGTTTTTTGCCTTTTATCTAGAAACCAAAAGCAAATCCATTTTTCTAATATACCTGATGTCCCAAAAGTAAGTGCACACTTTTTAGTCGTCAATAACTCTCTTCTCACTGACTATTTTCTTTAGCTTCAAGCACCGTTCG